AGGAAAAGGAAGGAAGAGGAAAAGGAAGAGGAAAAGGAGGAGGAAAAGGAGGAGGAAAAGGAGAGAGTAGTGAAATTATAGCTGACCTGATAGCTGATCATTAGACACATATTACCATTTCAGAATGGTTCTGTAAAGTAGCAAAGATTAATAATGATAATGATTATATGGATGGTAACGATAATAATAGCAATCAAAATGATAACTCGAGTGATAACGATAATAACAATAATGATAATGATGATGGTAATCATTGCTCGAAACAGTAATTTCTATCCCATATATGCGTATGTGTGTACGTGTTTGCATTCACATACACAAACACACACATACACACCCGCACATACACACATAACTGCATATATAGTAGTAGATAGAGACAGAGGACATATCAGTGTCTCGAATGGCGCCACTCTCGAGTTGATTTCATGATGATGAGAGGTTTAAAAGTAGACTTATGAAGTGAAGTCATAGAGCTGGCATGAAATGTGTTCAACGACCATAGTATGACATCATCAGAGCTGTACCACGGAACGCTTTGTGTATTTGGCGCTTTTGGCAAGACACCAAATAACGACAGTGGACATCGTCGACGGGATGTCCACTCGTGACGTGAGAATATTTCTCATACAATAATAATGTAGTAATGGAATTAATCTTGAAAATATCATTAATTGTAGAAAAAAAAGGTGACAAATAAGAAGAAATTTTTTGTCATTTGTCTTCAGTTACCTGTTACCCACCGGATTTTCTTTAATTTGAAGTGTAATTTTTAGCTTATTTCTCTATAACTTCTTGTTTCATACTGTATTTTTAGGAATTAATTACAAAGGAATAAATGCTCAAAGGTATATTTCTATTAATTCTTTCGTAATTCTTCAAAAGGCTAATTAATTAAATTTTTTTTTTGTATTCACAAAACATTTATTGTAATTTGTTACGTACAATAATTATTCAGTTACGTTTTTTCCATTGTTAAAGCCAAACAAATTCATAAAATATTTTAAATTGAATTATTTTCGAACAATTTTATTTCATCTCTAAATTAGTTATTTTAACAACGAATTTTCTCTCTTTCTGAGAAAAAAAAAGGAAAGGTCACTTCGTTTATATTTCTGAAGTAAAGGTTAAGAAGAATTAATCTAATTTAATTAGGATCATTTAATTGCAATTTATTGTCGTCTATAATTTGATGAAATTAAGATAATCCAAGATAAAGCATTCAATAGGTAATACCAGACAGACGCCTCATTTCGCAGACATCTTAGATGAGTTTCATTGGCTCCAAATTGTTTTTTTTTTTAAGAAATCTTTTTTTTTGCTTTCTTAAGAAATGAAAGAAAAGTTTTGCTTAGAAAAGAAGAATGATTTGTTTTTATCAACTAATTAGATATTAGATTTAAATTTTAAGCATTTTAAACTAATTCTCGATTGCCATTCAAATTATCATTGTAACATGAAAATAATTGAGCCGAAATATAAAATATTTTAATTCTACCTTTTATTTCAATTTTAATTCGGAATACCTTCACCATATGTTTTCAGTTTTTCAGATTAGTTTTAAAGTGTTAAGAAAAAGCTCCAATTTTGAACTCTAATTTTAAAATTTCAAATATTTCAATGTAAAGAAATATTTATCGCAATTTAAACAATTGCTAATTATTATTGAAGCATATTTGGTTGCTAAATATTTTTGAGAATTATCGTAAATTAGAATGATTGCGTAGAAAAATTTTCTTTTTAGTATTTTTGTGTGTTATGTTAAAATGAGGTTATTCTTTCCCTTAAATTTACGCTATCATTATTCTTGAATTTGCATGTTTAGCAATAAATTGGAAGAAAACTACGAAATACATTTAAGACACAAAGCAAATCTTTTTTTAAAGAGGCATAAAATACAAATGATTTTTAAAATGTATCATCAATATGCTTGTTGAAATGCAGGAATCAAAAATTTATTCAAATAAAGGTCAATCGCTAAAAAGTGAAAGCTTAAAGAACTCAGTTGCAACTATCAAAAAATTTTTTACTGAAATGAACATAATAATTTCGGCTGAAATTTTTGCATATTTTAAAATTAAATCGACTTAATAACATATCGAATTAATATATAGAATTTTAGATTACAACAATACAATCCTTCATAACACAGTTTTCGATGTAATTTACCGGTATGACAAATGAATAGGTATCAGATTTTAAGGTAATTACGTATTATAGCTTCCTAAAAAATTATTTAAATGCATCTCATGATTTTGAATTTTTTCGAAAAATTTTAAAGCACGACAGTCTGGGAAAAATTAGTTGAATTCGAACTTAATTAATGTGAAGATTAGCTTAGTATTTCATGCATTGCTTTTGTTTATTGCCGCTCAATTTCACTAATTTTACTCGACTAGTTAAATTTTTTCCTTCTTAACTTTTTGATGTATTTTATATAAAACAAAATAAGATGATTAGATTTAAATTAGATTTAGTTTTAAATCCTGATAAATGTGTAAATTTTATGATGAAAAACAGGACAAAAATTAATTTTGCTTATAAGGAATAATAGCTACGATGAAAAATTAAATTTCTGGAAGTGGACTAAATGCATAACAAGTTATTTCATCGGTCGAATGCTGGCAAAAAGTATCAGTGTATGCAATATAGGAAAAATCATTTTCCGAACAGATTACATTGAATTTCTTGAATAATTTCTTCTCAGCATGCCGTTGAATATCACGTTTAGAAAGAGTTACATCTCCGATCATATTCTAAAATTTTCACAAAATCATTATTAATTAAAAAAGTTATAAAAAAGTACGAGGGGAAGAGTGAGAGTGAGAGAGAGAGAGAGAGAGAAAGAGAAATGTTCTCTTACTGATTTTTAGTTTGAGAAAGCCTTCAAACTTTTGGCTGAATGTAAATGTCAATTTTCGCCGTAACAGTGGGATGAAAAATTAAATATGTATGGTAAAATGAAGATTTCCTTTTGAACGAGAGAGATAGAGATTTGATTTCAAATTTCCTTTTTAATAAAGTATGAGTGAAAATTTTTGAAATTGATAATACAAGTAGATAAACAAAAAAAAAAGAAACTTTTATTGGCAGATAGTGAAATAATTTAAAGTAATGGTACAGAATAGATCCATGGATAATGCAAAAAAAAAAAGCAAATTTTATAGAAATAAGGATATTTCTAATGTAGAATGAATAAATTTTCAATAAATTATTATTGACCAAGGAGGAATAATAACTATTAGCTACTGCTGCATAAATCATCTCAATTAATTTTACGGTGTTATTTTATGTTAAAATAGCCTCAGGGAAAGAAGCTATGCTCTTGTTATTTTAATTTAGTCAAGGTATTCCGGCTAATTTTGCACACTTTTAACGATCTATTAGGATGATAAATAAATTTTCTCTCCTTGTTTCAATTTTAAATTGCAAAATAAAATTTATAAAATGAAATCTTAAAAAATGAATAAAGAAATTCAGAATGAATAAATCTCAACAAATTATTATTAACCAAGAAGGAATAACGACTATTAGCTACTACTGCACAGATCATCTCAATTAATTTTGCAGCATTATTTTATGTTTTATTTTTCAAATTTGAAATGCGCTACCTCTTCCATAATTGATTTCAAAACAGGATTATTACATTTGGAATCACGTTCCAAATCAGCAAGTGAGGCTGAAAATATTTTGGCACCGTGTATTCTCGTTTCAGTGTACACGCAAGATGTGACGCACGTGCAACAACAATCGTTAATCACTGGCGTCGTATGTGTATGCTTCGGGACCTCCTTTAAAGTGAAAATGAGATATATTATTTTCTTAAAGCTGAAAATATTTTAGCATCTTATATACTACATTAGTTTCTTTTGGTTTTGAAAGTTTTTGAAATTTTTTTTTTAAATTATGGATCCAAAAATTAAGTAAGTTGCTTGATTAGTTTATGTCGGGTTTTTTCAGGTTGAACTTACTGGAAGAGGATAAATAGGTGACGGTGGACATGGTGGAGATGTTTGAGGTAGTGGAGGAGGCAGTGTTGGTGGTGGTGGACAAATTATTGGTGGTGGGCAAATTATTGGTGGTGGACATACAGTAGGTGGTGGACAAATTGGTCGTGGAGGACAAGGAGGAGGTAGAGGTGGACAGATTACTGGAGGAGGAGGAGGTGGACATATTACCGGTGGAGGACAAGGAGGAGGTGAAGGAGGACAAATTACCGGAGGAGGAGGTGGTGGACATACTGGCGGTGGAGGACAAGGTGGAGGTGGAGGTGGAGGTGGACAGATTGGAGGTGGAAGAGGTGGTGGACATGGATATGGCACGCATGGCCTGCATCTAATTGGCATGCAAGGTACCGCTATGGGACAACAACCAAATGAATCACAAACATCCCATATTTGCATGAATATGATTGGGAGTATCAGCAGTTTCATGTTCTAAAATAGAATTGAAATTGAAATTAAACTAACTGATGAAGCTTAAAATAAATCTGCTTATTTCTATTAATTTTTCAGTATTTTTCCATTAACCTTATCAATAACTGATAATGATAATTACAATTTATTGTGAAAACAAATAACTTCATCCAGCGCAAAGTTGAGTATTGCAGAATAATTTTACAATTTTAAAAGTAATTTAAAAATCATTGGTTAAAGTTTTGAAAAAAAAAGAAAATTATCATTTGCATTTTCTAAGTCCACGTAAGCAGAATTTATATTTTTTTTTAGTTTAAAAAAAAAGAATAGTATTAAGAATTAGTAATTTTTTTTTAAATTTAACATCTATTTGAAAAACAAACATAATAATATTCAAAATGAATCCTTGGTCTCAAAATATATGAAAATCTTAATATCCATGGTATCAAAAGCGGATTGATTGTTTTCTATGATAACAATAAAAAAAATACCGTCATCATTATTTCTTAATACAGCAATAGTAGTAATAATAATATAAAGTAATTTGATAGGCAATTGTATTTCACTGCTAAATATATTTGGAAACGTTATAGTTGATACATTTCAGGCAAAAAAAAAGGAATTGAAAGGACTATTACGACAGCGAGCAATTATGATGCTGGAACCATTTGTGGTGCTTAGTTACGAAGCTGATTTGAATGGGTTACAAGTTATGAGTATGAATGAGATGGTGAAGATGGTCTTTAAGAACTGATGCAAATCGTCCCATAACTTCTCCTTCCTTTTTCCATTTTTTTTTCCCCCTGCTTCATTTAATGCTTTCAAACTGATGAATCAGCGCTGAAGTATGCCCTACGGCAATTCCGGATTTAACAATTCCTTCAGTACCAAGTAGCATAATTAGTAATTTATTGATGGTGTTAATTATAAGAGATATACATTGATGATGATGATGATAATACTGAAAGGACAGCAATAATAGCGACAAATCAGGAAAACATTCAATAAAGTCAAGTTTTTTTTTTGTGTTTACATTCATCCTCATTATCCTCTGTTCATAATTTGGAATAAAACCGGACTTCAATTTTTTGCTTTAATTTCAACAGAAAAAAAAAATCAAAAGCAAACTAAACTGAATTACAAAGTTCTAAAAGATACATTCAATGGCAGCAATTTTACAATCTTTTTTTTTTTCACACACCATTTGGAGAGTAAATTGATCCATGAAAAAATTTGCGTGAAAGTAAATATGAGATAAATAAAGAAAAGATTTTTTCTCTTGCCTCAATGTCATTGCCAGTTCTGTTTTAAAACATCAGCCGCAGGCAATTTAACATAATCATTCGAAAGTTTTGAATCATTCTTTTTTACATATTAACAAAAAGAAGTAGTGGAATACTATTTAAAAAAAAAGTCAGAAATGTCTGCGAAATTTCTAAGTAACACGCCCATAAATTTACGTCATCAACGAGTTTTCCAAATTTGATGGCATGTTTTACGCAACTATTTTGATTGCTAAATCAATATTTTAATTTTTACTAATAATAATTTCTCATTTATTAGATTCAAATTATTTATTTTGCACTTTAAAATATGAAATTTAATTCATATTTCATTCATGCAATTATATCCTGATTGTTGTGCTTATTGGTAAAAGATTTAAGCTTATGTTTAAATGTTTAAAACATATTCAATGTAAGAAATTAATGGAAAATTTTCTAATGTTAAAAATTTTTAAATGACTTTTCATGAAAGCATACGGTAATTGCTGAACAAACAAAATCTTGAAAATGACGCTGAAGTTGATCGCGTCCTAACACTACAGTTGGATTACGGTATTTTTGCATTGCTGTTTTGGGTAGTAGCAGTGATAAATGTTTGTAAATGTGTTTCCAAGCGTGCGTGAATGCACGTGGAATGTTGCACGTGTAGGATTTATGGAGTTTAAGAATTATTGTGCACAATTTCAGAATTTTTTAGGGGCGAAAGGAATTAACTGAAAGGATCATTTCGAAATGTTTTTAAGTACAATTCAGAAATGTTGTAATACATCCGCATGCATTTCTACACTCGCTGTAAGGACTGCATCATATCCAGGCTTGCATTTGCAGTCAGATTCAGTATCACTTGATCAGTGCCATTCGATTGATGCTTGTCTAAGAACAAAGGTTTGGTGTGTTTATTTTGTAAGCATGTTTGAGAATTGCGAGAATCAAAATGATATGATAGTATAGCTGTTTGGATTTCTTCTATGGTCTCCGATTGATAATACAACTGTTCGGTGTCTGTAGTTGATCGCTGGTGCAGAGTCGTTTGAATTCATCCATTTATGGACGAATTCGATTTTCCTTTACAGAAAGGAAAATTGTTTACAGGAAAAAAAAACTGCTGTTATTTTTAAAATATGACATAATTTGGTTTTTAATTTTGTGACTTTGCGAAATTCTCACAGTTAAAATGCACAGTAATTCTCAAGTTTATAAAATCCTTTTTAATTCAAACTTTTATACATTTTTGATATTTCTTAATGATTGTTATGAAGTGCAAATTATATTTTTCCTGTATTTTCAGCTGTCGCTCGAAAAAAATCCTCACGATCTACAAATTGAAAAATTAAAGTCAGCGGTTACGAAAGATTTTCCGGAATATCCCGAGAATGGGAAATCTCAAATTCCGAAAGAAAATTCGGAACATTCTCAAAAACAGAATTTAGTACAAACGGGTTCACGAAAAGAGTTTTATCTACGGGAAAATGAAGTCAAAATGGCAAGAAGTACAGGAATTGGCATCGGTGATGAAAGACTGGAAGGTAGGGTTATTGAATTTTAGAAGACAAATAGATAAGTACAAATAAACAAAATATTTGTTGATCAGAATTTTGTCGTTTTTAACCTTGTGGAATTGTTGTCACTTGCAATTTTATTTTATCGCATCACGGACTGAAAGAAATCCACAACTAGGATCGAACAAACAAGACAACTAGACATATATCAAGTTAATAGAAAATTCTTTCTAACGCAAAAATATAGGATTAAAAAAGTTCATTCTGAAATGTATTTGTTAAAAAGTTTTATTTCTATGATTGATTGAGTAGTGAAGAATTGATGCGGTTAATAAATTTTGTAAACAAAAGTAAACTTGTTTTTGTTTCACCGCGCTAGTGATTTTAAGAGTTCCTTTAAACTAACTCTGTGATTTATTTTCATTAAAGATAAAATTTGTTTTTTTAGCATATTTGATGAATGCACTACTATCGAAATCTTCGGATGGAAATACGCTTAATGGTATGAACATCTCTGTGTTTGACTTACATTCAAGGCGTTTTGTTGAACGGCTACTAAGTGCTGGTGTTTCTAGTCTTTCCATCATTGAAACATCACAACATGAAGCTCAGAAAGCGAAGGTTTGTTTATTTTCATGGTTTTGAAGGCTTATGTTTTTATTAAAACCCGAATGAAATAAGATTGGTTCATTGTGCATTCTTACGTTCTATTTTATTTTCGTCAAAATAAAGCTATTGAATGGGACTTGTTTTGACCACAGTAATTTTTAAAGTGCTATTTACATGACTTAATTATTAATAAGATTGTGGTGAATTCATGTCAAATTTCTACGAAGACAAAAGATAGAAATACAGCTGTTTCATGACATTTTAGAAGAAGAACAAAATACTACATCAAACAACAATTCACACTTGAATGAAAATTAAGAAGAAAGCTTCAAGTTTGTAAAATACTAAGCATTTGAACCGCTTTTTATCAGGCATTAAAATTTCCTCCTTAAAAAGTAAATAAAAATATAAAGAATTTCTTCAAGCATAATACTTTTTCATCTTAATTTTGGAGTTAATTTTACGTTGTTGGATTATTCTATATAAGTCTGTACGAATTGTAGCATTTATGTTATACTGACTTATGAGCAGTTGAGCAGTTGATAAGTTGTGCAGCACATAAATGACGCTTTTTTTTTCAATACTGTTGTTTTAATTTTATTTAAATTTGATTTCTGACTATCAGTAACTTATGAGTGAAAACTGTTCTTGTGAATTTTGGACTTCTTAAAAATTGAAGATATTTGAAAGAAAATTTCATGGAAGATATGCGAACAGTCTTTGCTGGCTAAGCGGTTATGGTTTATAATTGTTCTTTTTTGGACGTTATCATGACATGCTAAAGACCTGAATTTCCAGTACCAGTTGTCTATGAGAGAGTTATAGGATTTTTTTTTCATCATGCAAAAATGTATATATTTTTTCCTCATTTCTGAAGATAATTTTAGACTTTCAACTATTTTAGTATAATTTCGAATTAATACGCATAAAATTTGATTCACAGATTCCATAGATTTTAACTCAAATTTCACGCAACCAGATGTTTGAACTATAGATGCAACTGCAGCATCACTATGACGGAAAGTCATTCCGATGTGATAGATTGTGAATAATTGAAAAAGTGCAAATATAATGTAAACAGACTGAAATATTATCTTTTTGTGCTGGAAGTAATTTTTCAGTCTGTAATTTTTTCAGTCAATTTTGTCTGCGGAACGTGTTTTTTATAATTGTATTTTAATTACTTCCATAAAGTGATGCATTCTGTTTATAGTATATTGGAGATACATGTAATCTAGTAATAACTTTTTGGGTAATTTATTCAGTTTCTGAAACATTTTTTTATATTAATTTTATGTTTCGAAAATATGAGTATTTTTCTTTTACATAAATTTAGGCAAACATCACCATTTTCGTGATAGTATAAAATTATTAAAGTAAAATCAAATGGAATGAATATGTTAACGTAACTGATTTCCTACCAACTTTTTTTTTGATAGAATCTGATAGGTTTATTAGGTAGCAGTCTTTCATTACTTTTTATTCTCAATAAGGCAGTTTTTCTTCGGACCAAATAACTTGAATTTTTGCATCAAACGATGTTAACTCTCCATGTAATTTTCTGCATGAAGAGCTAATTTATCATCCAGTTTTGTTTTGAAGTGGCACTTAATGGCAATACAAGTGATATGATGTATAATATAAAGTTTATAAAAATATGAAAAGTGTAGAACTTTAGTGATTGATTTTCTTTACAAAAAAAGATCTGATTGGCATTGACGAAAGAATATTAAAATTCTCTACATCTACATAACTGTACCTTTTATTAGAATTCAAAACTAATTCTATTTAAATGAGCTTGCTAACATTTGGATTACTGTTACGAGAATTATTACTGTAGGAATTGTTTGTTTTCTAAAGTAGCTCAGGTGACATTTCAATTCTTCATAAAGTAGAAACTTAATTTTTTTTCCAGGAATTAAATTAATTTATTTCTCTGAGCAACCTAAAATGAAAATTGTTTTGAAGTTTTATTTATGCTGCGATATAATTTATAAAATATACATTCTATGTATATTCAGTATTGCTGTAAAAAGAACGGTTGGCAGTGCTTTTTGCGTTAAGTAGCATAATTAATGCGCACAATATAATATTAGCAGTGATTATAACAACCATGTTCTGAAAACATACCTGATTGAATGTGCTCAACCATATGATGCGCATCAGTGGGGTCCATCAAGTGATTGGATGTGTTGTAGAGATTCAAAAGTGATGACAAGTGAAGTATGATGCTGAATTAAGTGTGACAAATTATTCAATACTGGCAATTGTGATCAATATTTGAAAGGGGTGCTTCGAAATACTTGTTCAAAAATAAATGGGAAATTAATGAGTAGTATATGTGGGAAAGAGAAGAGAAGGAAAAACTATTCAATAAATGGAGTGCAAAATGATGGATGGAGATAATTAAGCATATTTGTGAGAGATTTTCCTTTTTGTCTTAGTTTTCTTCAGTTGAATTCAAAACTATATTGTTGAACTCAAATGAATCATGTTCGATTTGAAGCATAGCTGAATTTTAAATATCCCTTAATTATCTTGACGTTTTTACTATAAAATTTCTGTTTTTCTTAAGGTTTTGTTTTTAGTATTCTAACTGTGATAAGAACTTGAAATTGCGAAATTGTCGTGCAAGATTAAATCATAAAAATAAGATGTTCTAGATAAAGCAGATGACAAGTTAAAATAAATTTTCTTTATGGTTAATCAGAGGCTTTAAGTAGCATTATACATCGTTGGTAACAGCTTTTCCTGAGGAAAGTTAAAGTATTATTCAGTATCATTGAAGCCTCTAGTCTACGGATTTCAATTTTCGCTGTTAATTAAGGAACAAAATGGCATTTGCACAAACTTTCTTTGATTAAAATTTGTTATTTTTAAGTGTACTGCACTCTTTATTAGAAAAAATTAATCAAAAGATTTTAATTTCCACAGTTAAGAAAAATTTAGAGGTAATTAGCGCTTTGTAATCCAGTTTAGTAGATTGAGATAAAAGCAGTAATCAAGTACGATGATCAGCGGATTTTATTATGGGATCTAAAAAAAAGAAATTGAATTGAAGGATTTCTCATTTTTAAATATCATACATAAATTAATTGAGTATAAATCTTACATCCAATTAATTTATGCATGATATTTAAAAATGTTAATCAATTTCTTTTTTGAAGCTAAATAATTTGTGTGAGTATTGTTAGAATTACTAAATTCATGGATTATTGCAAACACATAAAAGCAGACTTTTCAGGAATATGCAGGAAGGATGCGAAAAAAGAAAGGATTATTAGTTGGAGCATATCGAGCCAATATGGAATCATTGTTTCCACTTTGTACACGGAAGAAGCAAGCACCATTCCCAGCTAAATTGCTCTTTGCTAGCCAGCAGCTTATGAAGGATGCCATTAATCCGTTTACGTTACTTAAAAGGAATACCGAGCAAATTAGTATATTTGTTTCTTTATTTTTTATGCGTGATTTCAACTAAAGAGTTTTTTATATTGAAAGAAAAGGAGAAGACAGGATGTATTCAGGTTATTAATAGGTCTTTGTTTCTGAATTCAATAGAAACTGAAAAGAAATGGTAGAATTAAGATATCAAATAATTTCAGTGAATTACTGATTTGTTAATTTATTAATTGATTTGATTAATAAAATATTAGTCATTAGTAATTAAATCGATAATGAGTGCTAGAAGAAAAATGGGCATGCATTGATGAAATTAGTGGACTTATAGCAATCAGCTTGGTAGTTGATTATGCAAAAATCCTTGGAAGTTGTAAAACTAATGCAAAGCAGCAGCTAATTGCATCGTTTTCCTGTTTGATTTTGTAATAAGTGATGTGAACAGCAGTGGAAATATAGCATTTTCTGAATTTGTCCAAATAAATTTATAACTTATCTATGTTATCTGAGGCAAAATTTTTCTTTTTTCACGACAGTATAGTGAGATAGAAGTGTTTATAAATCTCGTGAAATAATTCATCTTCAATAGGCTTTCGATTATTCTTTCGATTGTTATGGACTTTTTATCTTTAACTTAGTGCGATAGTGAAAGCTGACATATCAAAATTAGTAACTGCATTTGTTCATGAAGGGCAGCTACTGATAGTAATATGTGATCATATTCCAGTTATTCTCGGGAATTATAATTTTAAAACCTAGTGAGAGATTGGCTTTAAAAATGACTTTTAATTTTCATATTTTTAATTAAGGGTGATAGAACAAAGAGATAAAAGAACTCTTCTTTTTATAAGCTATCATAAAATCAGTATGATCAAGAAATTGTTAAACTGAATAATAGATATAAGAGTGCTATCAGTTATTCTTTAACATTTAATCAGAGTTTTTAAACATTCTTATAGCTTCCCTTTCTTTTGCTTTTTGCCTTTCGCAGCTATGTTAAAAATGAGTTTCTGTGGAGAGACTATGTTTACAAAATTGTCTCAAACGGATTTTTTAATAACCGTGGAAGGCACTTTTTTTTAGATTTGTTTAGTCATCTTTTTGAATTTTAGTAGTGAAAGAAGCCTCAAATTTAATAAATTTCTTATCCAAATATTTTTTTTGAGACGAGTTATGGGAAAAGGAACGACAAAAGACCTGTTATTATGATGTAAAATATTAACAAATAAGATTAATTAGTATAATATATATTAGGATTTGTTCATAAGTGTCTTTTTCATTGAGGTCTTTAAGAAGGTTGTAAATTGGATTCTTTTTTTCAGTTGCATTTTTTAATATCATTGATTAGAAAATGATGGGAAGAATTTGAGAATTTTACTTTACTAATTCGAAGGAGTTCACAATTTTCATTTTATTGACAGTCATTGTTTTGTACAGCTGTGATTGATATGCAACTGTGTTATATTACCAATTTTTGCCATAATTCTAGATGACGAATCTGGTAACAAACAAAGATTTGCGCCTATAATAATAGGCTGTTTACCTTCAGCCACTCAACAGTCTAATATGCTTACTTCAATGATCTTCAATTTAATCATGCATTTATGTGCAATGAAAACGGACACAATGTTTCAGTACGGTCCCGTACAGTTTATTACATTTCTTTCAGCTGGGTAAGTTATTGTCTGTGCGAATAAACAAATATTAGTAAAGGATAAGTTTCAAATTATTAGAATTTGTTTTTGAATTGTGCTTGGTTTCGTGTATGAAATTATTGTAGACTTTTTTTTTTCAAATTGGTTTTTTCTAATGAGAAGGATAGGACATTGTCTTTTTAGCTCATTGGTTTCACATTTTTGTTTTACAAATAAATTATAGTTTTTAAAGAAATTTTGCACTGGCAACTTGTGCCATGGATCCCAATATGCAGTTTGTATCGAATGGAAGTAAACACAAGTCATGGCTACTCAATAAATTATTTACCGTTAGGCCAATATCTGGTTATACAGGATTTCCACGCGACAGTTTCAGTCCTCCGTTTCCGCTACCCAAATCTCTCCCTTATGAGAAAAAATTCAGTTCGGTAATTTCGTTTTTGTTTTTTAATTTCGTAAATTCGGTTTTACTTTTTTACTTCTTGCAGTATTTTTACTAATGTTCAGGATAGTAAAACTGTTACTGTGTTGAGTTTTTTTTTTCGTCGTTATTGTTTAGTTTTTATTAAATAGCTGTTATCTTTCAGATTGGTATTACGAATGAAAATCTATTTGGTGTAACAATAGAGCCGAAGAGCGAAATTGATAATGATCATCTGAATTCATTAGTCAGTTCTAATGAGGAAATCTTAATAAAGTACGCATTCTGGGTTATTTTTACGGGCAAAATGACTTCTAAAATAAAAGTTGCTCAAAAGCTCAGGTATGATACTGGAATTACTGTCGTCTGAAATCAGTGTTTTTTTTTCCTTATATCGAATCTGAGCTTGATTTTCTTATTGAAAGAGTAATTCTTTTCGTCGATTACCAGATTTTCCTAACCTCAGTTCAGTCTTTAGCTGATGTTGCAGACCTAAGTGGTTAAAAACCATGAGATATCGGTTGGATTTTATTTTTTTAGCTCAATGTTTAATCTGTCATATGCGTAAAATTTTAGGGAATGGTTTCCAAAAGCAAGTATGGATCTAAGCTCTGTTGTTGAACCAGATGCTAAAGTTGCTGATTTGCAGTTAGAAGATTTTGATAAAATTTTTTCTTTGCTGCACATGGAATTAAATGATAATTTTACATATATCAATGAGCTGAGGAATTTCTATGCTCACTTTAGGCCTGCAATTGAAAATGCTAAATTTGCGGATTAATAAGATAGCTGTAAAATGTCCGGATTGTGTTACACAAAAAGTGGTGACAGATAAAACGATTTATAATTATCATAATCCGACTAGTTAAGATTTGACAAATATATACAGAAATATTAACAGAAATGAGTATTAGCTAAGAATGCTTACTAAAACAATTATCACAAAGTGAATCAAATTTTGTCATGCAGAATAGTTGCTTTTTAGTTGATGACTATTTTTTGCTGTTCGTTTTTGAGGTTAGTATTTTAATTTTTACAACTGCTTTTTCTAAGGATCTCATTTTAGACCTCATTCGGTATCAATTCATAGTCTGCTTTATCCAGATGTTGTCCTCGAAAGGTGCAGCCCTTTTCAGTTTATTCTTCACTTTCAGTCACTAATATCATTTTCCGGAATTTCTATTAATCTTCTGAAACCGAAAAAATTGTAGCGTTATTGCTTAAATTCCAATTTGAATTAAGTTTTAAGCGAAATTCGCCAATGTAGTACGTAAATTCATGTTGACATATATTTTCATACAATTTTTTACTATTCCATTGTAGGCGGAGTATATATTATGTCATTTATTAATAGTTTTCTAATGCTAAATGCTTATCTGTCAAGAAGCGCTTGGTTGATACTGTAAATCTGATTTATTCTTTTTTAAATCACTAATACTCATTGTTGTTTTATTCACTTATCATTTGAAATTTGCGCATGTTTAGACTGTTTACGGTGTCATTTGTGTGAAAATTAAAATAGTTCACTTATCTGCTGGATTGGTGCAGAATTTTGTTATACATAAAATTGTCTGGATAATGGATGGATGATTGACATAGGCATTTGCATAAAAGTCTCAGATGTTTTATTTAAAAAATATTTTGACACACATAAAATGAGAATGAAATTGAAAGTGACATTTGTTAGAAAGTACAACGATTCGCTGAAATTATGGTGAGCTACGTCACAATGGTAGAAATTTGTCAGTTATTTTAGTGAAATTTTTTTTAATGAGAATGATTTTCTTAAATTAAGAAAAGTAAATTACAGTTGAGTAAAATGAGATTCATTTGCTAAGACATTTTGATGGGTATTATGTGATCATCTTGAAAATTGTTCAAGTATTGAAATTACTACAATTTAATTTTGACGGGCTTCGGACAATTTTGATTTCAATCTATTTGAAATCCTAATACATGGATAGATCGGAATTAATTATAAAAAATTGCGCTCAAAAAGAAAGTTGTACGGAATGTATATTTCTACTCAGGATTTTGCTATTTCACGGTTCTAAAAAATTCTTGAGATCTTTCCCGGATGAGAAATGATGATCTATGATTTAAATTGAACAACTTATGCCTTTAAAGGTCTACATTTTTTCGCAAGAATTGTATTATGAATGAAAGGTCGGTGCAGGTCTCTGACTTAGCCTGATCTTTTCAAGATGTCATTGTTGTAAAACCAACAGAGAGACAATAGAAGCTGCAGAAGAAGAAGATAGTTTTGGACCGAATTCAGGCATCCGATAAGTTTGTTCATTGCATTTAATGCTTTTTCGAATGCTTAAATAAAATTTAAGGATGATAGGTTTAATTGTTTTCTCAAAGTTGGAATATGTGAGTTCAATTCCGCTCTCATTGATTCTCATTTTTAGTAATATCCATCCATTATTCTTTTTTTTAAAATTATTTTCTTTTTGTTACAATTAATAGAATTGATTGGTTTTAAAATTAATATTTTATTCGAGGAATTCAACATATTTGAATAAACATAGTGGGATTATCCACTATTTCAGAAAGAGAGAGGGAGAAAAAGAAGACTAGCGGAAGAGTGGTGGCATTTTGTCGCACTCATTTTATCCAATTTGCTGTTGAATTTTAACCTCATTGCTTTCTAAATCGTCAAGTCTTTTTCCGCCTAAATGATTGATTGGCATTATTTTTTCATGTAGTTCGGTAATTGTGTTAAGTTTTTTTAGTAATCTGAGATGACATGAATTGAAAGGTGAGCCTGAATTTCAATTTTTACATAGGAGAGCATATACAGAGAGAATTATCCTTTGCTGTATGCAATAAGCATCGATAGATATGTGATATTTGAGTTGAAGAAGTGTTGTACTTTTCTTCGATGCAATGGAAGTACCTTCGTTTGTGTTTATCCTTCATCGTTATTGCTTATTGTTCTCTAGAGAATCTTGAAATTCTTCTTTAATTTTGTTTGCTGGCAGTTATTGTTTTGTTTGGATAGATAACTATGATACATTCTGGAAAATGTACTACTGTATGGTACTTCCAGGTGGTACCTCACGTCATTCCATGAGCACCAGCGTGGGTGATGGTACCTCTCATCACTCATTAGCAGCTAATCGTCATTTGCAATGGAAGAATCAAAAAGTATTCATTGATCGGGTATATCAGGTAAGTCTCTCTCTAATTATCATTTATCTCATCCCTCTATGTTTCATCACTGATTATTGTAAAGTATCACTACGTGGTTCCCTTACTATGCTGCCATTGATAATATCTTTTGCATGACTTGTCCTCGGGGAGATTTGTATCTTATTTTGGAACTCGTACACCGAAGTGAATCGAAGAATCGATTAAGTCGATTCATTGCACAACAGTTATTGTTAACATTCATTAAGATGCCGTGAGATTTTTAAATAGTTTTTAAATATTGGTATGGCTGTCTCATTGTTGTGTGCACTTATAGATATCCAACAATTGTCATCCTGGTATCGGATTGGATCAGGCAGCTGCTGAACACATTCAAGAAATACTGATATGTTTATTTTTCGAATTATTAGAGTGTCATCCACAGACAATCGAGGATATGGAGCGAAGTATGCGTACCACTTTGCCGGCAAGCATGTTCCATTGGGTTATTCAGGTTACTTTGAAGATTTCATTATTCTTTCAGCGCCAGAACAATGTAAGATTTTCTGTACTGATAAATGATTGTACAACCTTTTGATTTCAGTTTCAAAATACCCCTGAAGCATTACATAGAATCCCACGAAAGAAACTTCATGATAAACGGAACGCAAACTCAAAGAGCTTAATGTCACTTTTGCACTCGTTGCAACCAAAATTAAAGGTATCATTTGGTGTATTTTTTCAACTGCAAAATTAATAAATTACTTTATTGTTACATTATAGAAATAAGAACTGTTAAGTGTTTGGCAGAAAAACATTTGGAGCTATGATTTCAATGAAAATAGTTGTTCCAGGAATTGTTGGGTTATAAATTAGATGAGGAAGTGATGCTATATTTGCTTTCCGTTATCGAATATATTGCTGCAGATATACTGAAGGTATGCTATAGGTATTTTTACTTCTATCTTGAACTAGCTGTTCAGTTATTCGCTGAGTGTAATTGTTCTTCATTTTAGTGGACTGGAAATTATGTTAAAAATATAAGGAAATGTGACCCGACTATTGGTTTGCAGAATTTGAAAATTGCCCTCAGTGCTGATACAGTAAGTAAAATAATTTATTATGATCCATGTTTTTTTTTTATTTTTGATAAACTTTGAGTTTTAAATGGGATTATTACAGGCTTCCTATCTGATAACTCTTTTGCCTTCCCTATAATTTATATATTATGCTTCATTATTTGAATAACCATTACTCATGTCTTCCACTATGTTTAGTAACTTTTTCTGAAATTATAATTTTGACTTATTTGTAGAGCTTGATGGAACTTACAGAAATGTTGTATAATGAAGAGGAGACATCGACATCTGGAATATTAAATGATAATGTTGAGGATATCGTGCAAGAAATGTCATATGAAGAGGTGGTTTTTGGATTATTTTAAAACCACCGAGTTTTTTATTTATATTATAGCCCTGTTTTTTTGCACATTCATTTGTTGTATAAGTATTTGTTATATAATATCTGTGTGCTCGTCAAAAGACTAAATCCAGGCATCGCGCGATTTCAATCGTGAGGAAGCTCAATATCTTCGTGACCTCAACCTCATCATTCATGTCTTCCGGCGTCGTTTTGAGACTGTCTTCGAGAATTCTGATGAGGTAATTTCGAATAATCATAATATCCTCGCTTACTATAATTTTGTTTGTTTGTGCCCAGGTCACGTTTTTCAGTAACTGTTAGCCAACTGTTAGTGTAAAATGTATTTCTAGCACTATCTTGATCAAATGTTCGGTAACATTTTGGAATTGCACGAATTAACAATGAAGGTCCAGCGAATGCTGGAAGATGCAATTGAAATGTCGGATACTCCGTGTGTGGGAGCTGGCTTGTGGGAACTTGCGGAAGCTCATGAATTTGATGTTTATATTGCTTACATGGTATCATTTTCTATATGGCAAATAGATCCAACAAAATATGGTCAAAGTTTCTTTCTTATTTGTAAATGTTGAGGGTTTGATAATAATATTATCTCTCGTTATTTCCTGTAACTTATTTTAAGGATTTATTCAAGGAATCATTGTCAACTGTAATAGAAAAAGTGCTAAACGATGCTAAATACGATCAATTCTTTATGGTAAACATGTTCACTTTTTTTGTTATTGTTCAAAATTCTTGTTTTTACATCATGCTTCAATCTAATATTATACACAAAATCACTTGTTTAACCAAAAAAGAAAATATTGTAAATGAGTACATTTGAGAGAGAAAATTTTTTTGAGGGATTTGTTTTTCTTTTTCAGCTGGAGGACCGAGCGCATAGTATAACTCCTGGGGGTGAAACATTTCGACTTGCTGTTAAATATGTTCTTCCTTCTCTTCTTGAAATTCCTGTTGTTCATTTCTTTCGTTACGTTGAACTTATAAATGTTAGTTTTTTCGTATATCTCAAAATTTCTTGATTCATCTAAATACATTTAAATTTTGGCCCGAATTTTGTAGATCTGATAAATCACGCTACTTTTTCTAACAATTCTAAATTAATAAGCACTTAATTCGTAACAAGGTTATCGCACATCTCATTTGGCGCTAAGTCGTCCCTGTTACAAAAATGCTTTTTGAGTTAATTGTCATCACATTATTCTTTTAGATTTTATGTCATTTGGCACGACCAGTTGATGAAATCGAGGATTTAAAAAGCACGAAAAGTTACTTTAGCGGTCTTGCCATGAAAATAGAATCATTATGTCCTTCATTTCTGATTAATCATCTTAAAGCGTCAGTTTTTACTTTTGATAGCATAAAAATATATGAGATTTGTGTGATCGTTGCTTAGTTTTCATGTCTCATTCATTACTGTTTTCACTTTGTAGGGAACAAAGCGTTCGAGCTTTGCCGGAATCAAATTGCTCACGTCAGAGACGAAGGATTCAAGAGATTCAGCGAAGTATTGAATTATGGGAAGGCAAAGAAATTGGTTACAAATGTGCTGAAGTTATTAAAGGTTATATTTCTCTGAAATTTTAATACAAAAGAATTATTTGCCGTCATGAGGATCCGTACATTGAAACTATGCGGATTCCTTACAACAGTAATAATTCTCAGCTAATGTTCATCCAAATAAATAATAGGAAAAAATGTTTTTTTTTCTTTTGTTACTTATACTTTGTATGAGTGTATATTTGCATACTTACACTTTTATTTTTATACTTTATTTTGCAGAAGGTGATTTGTTATTATTACGATCTGGACCATTGTCTCCTGCTGGTAAATTTTTTATTTGCCTTTTAAATTCCGTAAAAGAAGAAACCTCGTTGGTGTTATAAATGTTTTCCTTTGAATTTTAACCATATCATGATATTTTTGCGAAATGTTATTTTCCAGTTTCAAAAATCCCTTATAGACACGTTGAAAAAAAACAGAGGAATAACTGTGCGTCATACATTCCTCTTCGACCATCTTCTGGTGCTTTGTAAAACATTACGCTCTTCAAGACCCGAAAAACCACTTTATAAATTCAAGGATAAAGTGCTTATACGTAAAACAGATATATTCGATCTGAAGGATACTGAAGGTTCTGTGATTTTGCAGATTCATATTAATATTTAAATGATTTGTATTTTTATTTCAAACTGTGTTATAATCAGGGTATGATTTGTATTAATCTAAATGTTATTAGCTGAGAAATATTTTGCATTGTTAATTTATATATCTAGTAACTCATTACAGAACTTCAAAATGCTTTTAAAATTGTGTCGCGATCAATAACTCATGACCGGGGCGACAATACTTCTTGGATACTGTTTTGTCGAACGCCGGAAGAGAAAACTAGTTGGATGTGTGATCTAGTCAAAATTCAGGCGAAAAGGTGCAAATTTTTGATTTTTGATTTGTTTGTGTCCATTCATGATTCAGATTTTTAATACATGAAATTCTTTTCTCCATATTTTTCAGTTCGTTAGATCGAATGTTGGACGCATCGTTAAAAGAAGAAGAAAAACGAGTCCCACTAATTTTGCCGACTTCTGACCAATATAGGTATGATTTTATATTTCTTTTACTATCTTTGCTGACAGATATTTTGTAATGCTTATTTCTGTAGCAATGAATTCAGACTTCTGTTGATTTTTAAAATGAAAGCTTTAGGTTCGCTGATCAGGACTGCGATGAAAATATAGTGTTTGAAGATTATACATCGAGCAGTGGTATACCAGTTGTTAAACATGGGACTGTTCTAAAGCTTGTCGAACGCTTAACTTATCATTTGCAAGTTCTTGATTATTTTTAAGTGGAAGTTTTCGGAATTTTAATAGTGGCAGTAATTCCTACAAGTGCCTCAAGCAATTTTTTTTATTCTTTCTTTTAAAATTACCGTATTTAAAGTTTAAAAAAGAATTGTTGTGGTATTAATCATTCATATTTTCAGATACACAGATTATAATTATGTGAGGACTTTTCTGACCACTTATCACTCATTTTGTACCTCCTCAGAATTATTGCAGTTGCTTATCGAACGATTTCAAGTACCTACTCCGCTACAGCTTCAAGCAGCTGAAGCAAATAACGTATCTAACTTGGAATCACGGTAAAATCTATAAACAGTTAATCGTGCTTATTGATAAATTTGCATGCTTTTAAAACTGAAGTAAAGTTTTTTCTAAAATAAAATAGAGGAAGGAAACTTGGTTATGTATTTACACTGTTTTAGAGGGCTTTTAAACGGTCCTTATGCTACACTGCATTCGCAGGGTCTAAGGACCCTAGTTTCTCCGACATTGCTAAATAGAATTGAACGAAGTTATCAACGATTTCGCAAAGAATATCAGCAACCAATACAATGCAGGTATTTTCGCAATAATCGATTATACTCTGAAACTTCTTTCTGACAACGATAGAATCAAACAGAGATCACTAGAATCAAGACCAAGTATATTTTCTAATCATTTGTAGAAATCTCTCTTAAAGTAAGTTTTTACACAGAGTGCTAAGTGTGATTCGACAATGGGTGAATAATCATTGGTATGATTTCGAGCATAATCCGGTTCTATTACAAGACCTATGTTTGTTTTTGGAAGAAACTGATTCTCATGGAAAAGTTATCAATCAATACAAGAAGTGGTGTAAAAGCATTAAGGTAACAAATTTTTTGTTTATAATCCGCAGCTCTTTTCATTTCGAATTTTATTCTGCATAATTTCATTATCGTGATGGTTTTATTAAAATATAAATAAACATTTTTATATCACTTTACTGAGCTAATTCTTAGTTTGTTTCGAAAATTGTGTTATTTTATTCCTTTTTACAAAAGCTATAATTTATAATCGCAATTTGTTTTCATACCTGCATCGAAAGGAAAAAGCGAGCTGACACGATACCATCGATGACACATAATGGTTTAGAAAGCGAGACATCTCTATCAACAACCACCTCATATGGTCCACAGAAACCGAAAGTAATTGTGTATATCAATTGTTAGATAGTTTAAATTTCTTCAAAATTTTCGAATCTGTGAAAAAAGTTTTTTTCTTTAAACACAAGAAGCACTGAAAAAAAGTTTGATACGCACTATGACTCACTATTTTTGATCGTATTCAGATTGTAATAACTTTGTTTTTATAAATGAATCACTTAAATGATTCCAATTTAAGAAATTGGGATTCATAACTCATTCCATAAGATTGAAATGAACTTTTCATCTTTACTTCTTTGTTTAATTATAATATGTAGTGTTAATTGATTTTTTTAGATTTTATGGCATACTGCCGAGAAAGGAGCCATTGAAACGTACGATCTCTTATCACTCCATCCAATTGAAATCGGTCGGCAGATAACTTTGTTGCAGTTTGACTTATATAAAGCTATTAAACCCATTGAATTGGTTGGTTCAGCATGGACAAAAAGAGACAAGGATCTTAGAAGTCCACAGCTGCTGAAGCTCATCGATCATAGCACTATGGTTTGTTAATATTCTGCTTATACATGTTATTGCTTTGGGACTGGTTCAGGGAAAATGTGGTTTTTCTTGCCGATAAACTTTCTT